TCTGCAACTCCACTCTCAGTGGTCTCAGGCAGCCCCCCGGTGGACTCCCACACAAGCCTGGCTTATTAAAGGCTCCCCTCCCAGGGTCCTCCCCTGGCTCTCCAGTACCTTCCTCTTCCAGCTCCTCCTGTATACTCTTTCCCATTCCTTCAGTCATCTTTCACCACACCCTCCCTCCTCCCCCTTCACCCTTTCTAGCTCCCTGTTAGGCAACTGCAATCTCTCCTTCAGCCCACCTGCCAGGGCTCATACTTTTCAATGCTCACTGGCCACACTGCCCTGCTCCGAAGTCTTCAAGGAACTCCCCCCCACCCACCCCCCGCTACACCACCAGCATCACCCAGAAGAAGAAAGGAAATCCATCCAGCACTTCCCTCCCTCCCCCGGCATGCTGCTCTGAGCTTTTATTATGATTTCCAATCACTCCCCAGTCTCATTTTGTCCCATGTCACCACAGATCCCACCCTCCCATCCAGGTAGGACAAACCATGATGCCACCCCTTGAGCTGACACCTTCGTTGGAAATTCTCTTCTTCTTATTCCAATGCCACCTCCATGGCAGTCTCTATTTACAGGGCTTTCCTTGATTTCCCCAGGCAGGCGTGTTCTCCTTGCCATTAATCACCTCTGAGCCTTTGGTTTCTGCCATCTTTCTGTCGTTTATTAGCTGCTGCCTGGTAAGCAGGCTCGATGCTGTCTTGACAGACAGGTGTCAGTGAATAAGTGAGCGGCAGCTAAGGGCTCGTTGGGAGGCCCCCACTTCGAGAGCCAATTTGTCCGTGAGCCCAGACTACTTGAAAAGATGGGATTGGGAACCAAAAATCTAGACGAGGCTCTCAGAGAACGTTTGCTCTTTTTAAAAGCATGTTTGGGCTGGCTGGCAGCCCAGCAAGTAAGGGCGCTTGCCACCAAGGCTGACAACCTGAGTTCCGACTGAATTCAAGCCCTAGGGCACACATGGATGAAAGAGGGAACCGGCTTCTTCTGTAAGTTGTTCTCTGACCTGCATATATGAACAGTGGCACTCATGTGCATGAACACACCACACACACACACACACACACACACACACACACACACACACACACTCACACACACACTCACACACACATGTGAGCGATAAACAAATAAATAAATAAATATAAAAAGCATGGTTAAGGGTCTTTTTTTTTTTAGTCAGAGGTCCACCAAAAAATGAGACTCAATCAAGACTTCCATACATCAGATTTCTTAAAGCCTATATGAGCGATCTTTATTTTAGATTTATTTTTAAAAATTATTTTTGCTATACCTACATTGGTGTTTTGCCTGCAGGTATGTCTGTATGAGGGCATTGTGCCCTCTGGAACAGGAGCTACACACAGTGTGAGCTGCCATGTAGGTGGTGCTAGGAATTGAACCCAGGTCCTCTGGAAGAGCAGCCAATGCTCTTAACCTCTGAGCATCTCTCCAGCCCCCATATGAGCAATCTTAAAGCATGCAGTATGATGCTCCTCTCCCAAGAACATTCCCCATAATGAGATGACCCAGTAAATATGTGTTACTATGTGGATCTATGTATATTCACAATGGTCTTGCAGTCTAAAGATTAATCTGAAGCTAAGCGGACAGACTGGGCAGTTTAGGCAAACTTGAACCGCATAGAAAAGCATAAGAAGAATGATTGCATGTATGGACTTTTAAATGTGTTCAAATATGGTATGCCCAATTTCTATTCCAGACAATACCATACCAAGTGCTCCTGGGGACCAGAGGCTAGGTAGGTCCCGGTCTCTCGGGCAGTCAGAGTGACCTCCACTGAAGTGCCTCCAAAGATCAAGTCCACGTGAGCAACTGTGTGAAGGTGATTTTCCACATTCTGCTCCCTGTCCCCTCACAATGGTGTGTGTGCTGCAACATCACAAAGATGGCACTGTGCGAGCCTGAGCTCTGTAATACAGAATCCTGGGGCTATTAATATGGGGGCTGGCGAGCTAGCTCAGCAGATAAAGGCTCTCAACGGCCAAGCCTAACGGCCTGAGTTTAACCCCTTCACCCCACATGGTAGAAGGTAGGAGAGTTATCTCCTGACTTCCACATACACTTATACTGGCCCCACCACCACCCCCTGCGCACATGGACAAATAAATGTAAAATAAATAAAATAAAAATAAAACAACCTTTGCCATAGCCCTTGGCTAGTAGCACACCAACACTTAAACCTGCTAGTGAGTAACTGACCTGTATAAGTGGAGCATAATGGAGGCTCCAGGGACCCAAATTATGCAACAGCAGTCACATTTAGACCTGTGGAGGGGATGTAGCCCGGGGTCCTGGGACAGAGTCTGTGGATATCCCCCCACCACCCCCCCCAAAGGCAAGGGAAGACTGGGTTTGCTGCTGAGATACTGACCCACTGAGTCACCGAGAGCCAAGGGCTGGAGCTTAACCATGAGAACATGCGCTTCCAGCTGCCCGAGAGTGCCAGGCAGCTCCGAGGGATAAGTCACGGTGGGTAGTCATGGTCACACATGCAAAGCCTACTCAGATGACTAGATCTGAAATCCTCAAATCCAAGCCCTGAGCTTCTTTTGCGGAGGCCAAATTGGGATTAGGGAAGCAGCAGGCTTTTGTGAACAAAAAACGACCTCACTGAATTCTGGGAAATCACTCGGGGCTCTGAAGGCAGAGCCGAAGTGTGGGAGGGCCAGGGAAACAAGGCGGCTGCTGGTCAAATCCAGACTTCCTGAGGGCTCCACCCAGTCACCAGGTCTGTCCTCAGAGCTAGGACTATGCTGGCGGCTGACACTGCGGGGCCATTCTTGGGTTTCCTGGGTCCTTGAGGTGGAGGGCACGAGGTTAGCAGAATGTGGGGGGAAAGCAGCCGTGGAAGTGAGAGTAGCCCACAGTTACTGATTCCTACAGAAGACAATAATGACAAGGATAGTGAGCCTGGGCACTGGGTGACAGGTGCAGAATTGATCCCCATTCCAGAGGCAGTTGAGGAAACCAACCTTACTGATGTAGCTTGCTCAGTGTGGAGCTGGACTTTTATGTCTTCATGTCCATCTGGCTAAGTGTGGCAGCAGCAGCTAACTGTTCATTCAGACTAGAAGGAGGCACTGGGTGTGGTGGCATGTGCCTGTCTGTGTCCCAGCACTTTGGGCAACTAAGGCAGGATTGTGAGTCAGAGACTCATTGGAACTACATAGTGAATTCCAGGCTGTTCTGGGCTATGATACTGTCTCAGTAAAGACTGAGAAGATGCAAAACACCAAATAAGAAGGAAAGAACTTAATATGTGCTAAGCACCTACTGTGTACTGGACAGCACCCTGAGGAATTTTTCACATGCTGTTTTATTTAAGCCCTCATATTCACCTCCTGAATTCAATAACATCATCACTAGATTTTTACGGATGAGAAAAACCTTTGGAATTGGCTGTCTAGTTTCTAATGGCTAAGATTCAAACCCATTGCAATTTAATTCCAAAGCCTGTGGAGGCCCACAAAGGTTTCCTAGTGAGATCTGAGCTTGCTTTATCCAGCAGAGCTGCATTAGAGGATTGCTTGACCATGTGCATGGTTACCAGGTCATTGGAAAGAATTTGCACTTGGCTGTCCTCGGGGGAGGTCTTTTGCTCCACCCTTTGGCATTCCTATAAAAAGCCCTTTAGAAGAGACAGAAGGGGCCAGTGGATAATGATCCAGGCCCTCCCAAGGCTATCCTGTGTTTCTATCTGTTTCTCTCCCCTCTATCCTTCTATCTAAATATTTGTCACTCCTCCCTCCTCAAGAGTATCCCAGGGAAAAAGTGGGAGCGGGTCTCCCACAGAGAAATGGGTTGGCCCTCCACAGATGGCGCCAGGAACAGGGATCAGGGACTTGGCAAAAGGGAACTTGGGGGCCCCATAGGAAGCTGTTGGGCATGTCCAGTTGTGTAGTGTAATGAAGACAGGGGTATTCTATTTTCAGGAGTGAAAGCAAAGCAGCTGAAAGATGGCCAAGTGAAAAGTTAGGCTGCAACAAGTATCTCTATGTTTTTCTTTTCTCTCTCTCTCTTAATTTTTAATCTATAAAAACTAGGAACAATGTAAGGTAGGAATATAGTGTAAGAAGATACTTAGGATAAGGTAGAATATAGGAATATAGTGTAAAAAACTTAGGGTAAGGTAGTAGAGCAACAAGACAGAGGAGCTGTGTTCCTGGGACTATGAATACAAACTCCTGGGGAGGCATCGGAGTCATGAAGAAACACCTTGAGGAAGATGGGCAGAAAAAGGCTCCTGTGAAAGCTTTGGGCCTGTGGACAGCTTAGCTTTTTAAGCCCTGAATGGTAGGGGGAAAAATTTCTCTGAGGCAGACAAGGGAGGAATTGAAAGACTTAAAAACCTAGTAACTTTCTCTCAAAAACTGGAAGCTTTTCTCGTCTTTCCTTCAAGGATCTCTTTTCTTCCTGTAAGGGCAAAATCAGATTCACCTGGAAATAACATCTATCAGAAATCACCTGTAATTGCCCTAGAAAAAAACCATGGAAAATCCTCTCTGCTAGTCCTATCTCCCATTCAAGCCAGTATTAGAAAAACAGAATTCCCTGTGGCCAGAGCCTATGCCTGAGAGTGTGTAGGCATAAAACCAAGCAGAGGCAGCTTCCCCCCAGGGTGGAGAGCCACAGCAGAGGCGGTATGGGACCCAGGGAGGGGTTGCTGGTGTGGAGGAAGCAGTGGAGGCTTTGGGATCCTCCTTGCAATGAAAAAAAAGCAGAGTCTTGAGTTCCTAGCAGTAGCTGCAATACAGGAAAAGCTGAGGCAAAATTTGGCCATACAGAACCGGGACACAAGCCCCTACCCCCAGAGCAGAAAAGCAGTTAGCAGAGGAACTGAGCCACAGCCCAGGCATCAGAAACTCTGCATCTTGGGGGAGGGGACAAGTAGAAGATCTATGAGGGGGGGCGGGGAATCTCTCTGAAAAAGCTCTTAAAAGTCTGATTAGGAAGGTACATCTGTCAAACAGTAATGAGCTTAGGGAAGACAATAAAACTCCTGTGGCAAAGCAGCCCCCGCAATTGGCCACAGCTGAGTTTTCTCCTGGACCCGAAAGGCAGCTTGGGAAATGTAGTTTGTAAAAGCAAGGCAGCATAGGCAAGCAGGGCCAGAGAAAAGGCAGATAGACTGGGACAAAAACTTCCAAATGTTCCCCATACTAGAACAACAAAAACCCCAAGGGAAATACTGCCAGTACTGCACTGCCCCAAAACTCTGCTTTTTCAGCTAAAAATGCTATTTTTACCCCCCAAGCACTGCTAGAAAGCTTAGCTTTACTTCCGGAAAAGGAGAAACAGGTGATGCCTGTCAGGAGGCGATTAAGATGCCAATGTTGCTCTTCAAGTCATTTTAAAACCCTTAAGAGCCAGGCAGTGGTGGAGCACACTTTTAATCCCAGCACTCAGGAGGCAGAGAGCCAGGCAGATCTCTGAGTTCGAGGCTAGCCTGGTCTACAGAGTGAGATGCAAGACAGGCACCAAAACTACACAGAGAAACCCTGTCTCAAAAAACCAAAACAAAACAAAAATCACAAACAAACAAAAACCTTAAGAAAGCAAGGGACAGTGGTTCATACACTGGGGAATTGTTTTAGGTATGAAAAAAACGTACAGGCAAATAAACGGTTGTGCTTAAAATGCAAGTGAAAAACACTGGCATAATTAGAAGAGCTCATGGCAATCTTAAGATGCAGATTTAAAACATTAAGAAGGGGGAAATTGTACCCTCAGAAGCTAGCTGGCTGCCTGAGTTTGATGAGGTGTGTAGAACAAAGAAATGTCAGCTCTAATAATACCATAGCTGCTGACATTTCTCCAGAAAAGCTGGAATGAAATGGAACCTGGAGCCATATCGATTCTGTTCCAATGCAGGCTCCTTTAAGAAAGATGATTCCTGATAGCTGCACAGGGAGTTTTTTCTAAGAGCTTTATAGCATCCCAATATGGTAATTCCATGCATGCCCCTGAGGCAAGATCTCTCAGGAATGTTAACCCAAAGTGCTGCTGTATTGGGGAAGGAAGTTTCAGCAACATTTGTTTTGTGGCACTCAGAGGAACTGTAATGGATTTGGGTAAAGAGACAGCCCAACTAGAAACCATCTGCTGCTAAGCACATTTCTGCTGGTTCCTGAATGGTTGAGAGGGCCCAATGGGAAAGGTGACTTTGGGGGAGTGACATTGTCCTGAGTGTTACAGCCACTAGCAACAAGTGTTACAGCCCCCTAAAAACAACATAACTCTGTGGTACAAAGAGCTACCTGTAAGGGCAGTGAAGCCACTCAGTCACACATTGAGCTTTCAGGGCAATAGCCTAGCACAGGAGCCTGCTGAATGCTACAGGTCTGGAACCCAACTCTAACTTAGATAATTATCTTCCCCTGATGGGAAATTGACTGTTGTGGAGTTGCCAGCTAAGCAATTCAAAGAGTATGTTCCTTAGGAGGTTTTCCTCCTTGTTCTCCTTTCTTCCTTTTTGGGTTTGCTGTAAACTGAGATAGCTCGCAATAGAATTTTTATAAAAGATCTGGAATGCAAAAAGTACTGTTTAGCAGCAGCACTATTCTTTGAAAACTAACAGTTTATTCTTATTCCTACTTTTCAAAAGAGGCCCAAAGAAAATTACTCTCTGTCTTGTTGGAAGAATAATATAGTTATTTAAAAAAAAATCTTTTCTAGATATGTGCTAATGTTTATAAAATAGCTCTATAGAGTTTCCTTTTGAATATAAGTTTGTAAAAAGTATAAATAAGTATAGTGATATTCATGTTAGTTGTAATATGTATAGTGATGTTAAGAAATCTCTTCTAGATATGTGCTAAAGTTTGTAAAATAGTTCTATAGAGTTTCCTTTTGAATATAAGTTTGTAAAAAGTATAAACATGTATAGTGATATTCATGCTACTTGTAAATGTAAAAAGTGTAAATGTTGAATATAAGTTTGTAAAAAGTGTAAATATGTACTAGAATTGTTTTTATTATTCCATCAATATCTGTCTAGTCTGGACAAATTAGGTAACATTAATTTTTAAAGGATAAATGAAATCAATCACATTAGAAGCATCTTGAAGCTCTTATAACTCTTTAACTTC